CAAATTATATAAGATAAACTTTAAATAAATTGTCTTCTATCGTCAATACATTCCAGTTGAATTATTTGAAATTATGTTATATGTGGCTACTTCAAGCTTCTACTCCTTGATGTTTCCACTTGCGGCATGAGACGGATAGGAGTAAGGGCTTCCACACACAAATTGACATAACAGTAACGTAAGACGTACCATAAGAATTGACCAATTACGATCGAGTATTCATCAAAATGGCGACCTTACGGTTCGACGATACTCAAAGTGATTGGTCAATTCTTACGGTACGCTTACGTTACTGTTATGTCAATTCGTGTGCGGCGCCTCTGTTCTACAATACATCGTATGTCGGAGTCGAACGTCGGAACGCAATTAATAGTCCAATCAGGAGAACTCGTCTCGAAAAACAAATCCTCTGATTGACCCATCTGCTGCACTTCGCATACGACAGCGACATACGACGTATTGTAGAACAGGCATAAAGTTGGCCACACCTTTGACTATATAACCATGGACCGCTAGTCGCTATCTTATGTTTGCAGCAAAACGTCTGTCAACATCTGCAGCCCCGCCTGAACAAAACAACGGCTATTACGTAAACTATCACATACTTGTGATTTCTATTTTACCATGTGAAAGATATTTTGTGTGTGTGTCCGTGATCATAAATTGCAGTTATCATTAAAAAAACATGAAAAATTATTATGATATTTCTTTAATCGTCAATAACAGACTTTCATTTTTTCTTCAAATAAATTATTACATTAAAAAAAAGTTATACAACTTTGCTATAATATAAAAATCAACAATTTTTAAAGTAACAAGAAAAAAAATTTTATTTGCAAGGAAAATATAAAAACACAAAATAAGATATTTATAAAATTTGATACCAAATTTGTATTTATTATATTACATAAGAATATATAATATTTATATAGTATATTTATATAATAAGAGATATATAATATATGAATAAAAAAAAATATATATATGTAATATTATAAAAAGAACGTTCAACATTTTTTAAAACATTATTTAAAATATCGTCATTTGAGGTAACTTGGAACACCGGGGTAACTTTGAACAATTTGCAACGGTTTACAAAAACATGTGGCATCATTAAACGGATAAAGGTAGAACTTTCATATCAGCGATAAAAGTTACCCCAAATAATGATATATTATTGTCCTTGAAATAAAATAATTTTTGTCAATTTATATCTGATATATTGACATTTTTGGCTCATTAATTTTCCATCATAATTTATAACAATTTTAATATAAATTTCTATAATTAATTT